GAGATTTAAAGCACATTTTTTAAAGGACATGAATGAAAGGCTAGTATATATGATTTTTTAAAAAAAATTAATAGGAAAATATAATCTAGCAGGACCTAGAGGTATGTTTGACAGCTCTTTCCTGTGCTGAGCTCCCTTTCTGCAAGACCTTGGTACTGCAAATATTTACATCCCTGCTGAGTTGGAAGGCTGAGTCCTTTGGGCCCCACGGAGGAGCTTGCCTTGCCAGGGTGGATATTTCCTTCTGACAGTGATGTCCAGCTAGGGTGTTTTGTTTGGGGGGCTGGGATTTTGTATCTGGCTTCCCTAAAAATGGGGGAAGGTTGGGCTGGGGTCACATTCTCCTCTCCTCCCAACAGAGAGGCACAGAAAGCCTTCATATCTCAATGCCAGCATTTGCAGAGCTTTTCAGGGAAGGTTTTTTGTTACTTTGCCAATATGGAAATTAATTCTTATAAATCTGTCTTCTCTCTACCAGCAAATTGCCCCTGCAAACAGTGACAGCTGAGACTCTATATTTAAAATTACACACAAAGTGTTTAACCTTGTTTTTCACACTGGCTGGAAAACCAGCCTGCAGTGAAAGGGCACTTGTGGTTTTATACCAGGTGAGAGTGCAGAGGTTGTGTCCCTGAACTGTCAGGATGATGGAGAGGAATGTGAGCTAAACCCAGCTCGGGGAGGTCAAGGTTGGATATTAGAAAAAGTTTTTTTCACGCAGAGGGTGGATGAGCACAGGAAAAGGCTCCCTAGGCTCAGGGCTATGGCCCCAAGCCTGCCAGAGTTCACAAACCTTTGGACAATGTCCTCAGGCACACGATGTGAGTTTTGGGGTTGTTGTGTGCAGGGTCAGGATTTGGATTCAATTATTGTTGTGTGTCCCTTTCAACTCAGGATATTCTGTGATTCTGAGGTTGCAGAAAGAGCTTCTGATCCAAATTGATTGCAGTTTCCCTTAGCACTAGAAAAGGGGTCGGTGGCACTGGTGCCAGAACAGCCTCACGTCTTTCCCAAAACCAGTACAAACCACCAAAGATCAGCGGCACAGCCACTGGAAGCCATCCCAGGGGCTGGACAGGCAGAAGGGCCGTGGTCCCAAGGCAGCTGCCCTGGTGCAGCAGTGCAGGGACACCCAGGGCTGCCAGGGCTGCGTGTGCCCTGTGCCCTGCCAGCACCTGGGAGCTGCTGCCACCTCGTGAGGCTCACCACAGCGTGTTCCCCGTTAAATAACTGTGCGCAGTGAACAACAGAGCTCAAGCCAACAAAGTGCTCCCTTTCATGTGGAAACACGGTGGGCCCAGGGACTCCCTGGGGCCAGCCATGGGCTGTCCGCAGTGAATGGAGACGTCTGTGTGCAGAGCACGGGCTGGTGCAGATCCATGAGGGGGTGAGATTCCCTTTCCTTGCCGCGGCTGAGTTTGCTGAGGGTGCGGGGTGAGCTCCCCGTGCGGCGGTGCCGCCAGAGGCCCCGGTAATGCCCGTGTGCTCCGGCCCCGCGGCAGGCCCGGCGGCGGCAGAGCCGCGTTACCACCCCGGGCAAGGAGCTGAGGGAGCCTGCGGGGGCTTTTAGCCGTCCACAGACGGAGGGGGGGAAAGTGGTTTTTAAAACTTTTGACTAGAGGCGGGAGAAAGGTGAGTGCTGCCCTCCCCATCTCCCAGGCCTGCCTGGCAGAGGAAAGCCCCGCAGGCCCGCGGAGCTGTGGGCTCAGGGGGCGCTGAGGGGAGCTCCCCTGGGGTGCCACACGAGCGCTCCTGCCCCAGCAAGCCCCTGCTCCGCTCGTGCTCCTGTTCCGTGGCTGATGCTTGAGTGGCCAGCTCCAGCCTGGGCCACGAGTGCTCCTCAGGATCCCTGCCGAGGCTGAGGGAGCCGAGGTGGAACCAGCTGCTGCTATCACACTGGTAGGCTCTTGGATTTCTCTGCCTTTGGTTTTGCTGTCGGTGCCGCCAGCCCTGCTGTGTGACAGCACAGCACAGCCCTTGTGGGGGGCTCACTTGTTTGCTGCACATCTGTATGTGGCCAAACATCTGTATGTGTGTACATCTGCTCTGGGACACAGGTTTTATGGGGAGTAGCTGGGACAGGTGGGGTTGTTTAGCCTAGAGAAAAGGAGGCTCAGGAGGGACCTTATCACTCTACAACACCTGACAGGAGAGTGTAGCCAGGTGGGGGATGGATGAGGAAACAGCCTCAAGATGCACCAGGGGAGGTTGAGATTGGATATTAGGTACAGACCCGGAAAGAAGAGGCCAGGTGGGTCCCTGTGGGGCTCTGTACCAGCTCTCCTGTGTCCTCACTGCTGCCAGTAGCTCAGAAGAGGCAAAAGGAGGTAGGCAGAGCCTTGCTCTGGGCCAAAGGGTCTGGGCTGAGGGCAGGCAGAGAGGTGTCAGGGCTGTGGGTTGGTGGGGAGCAGTGCCAAGGCAGGAGGAGGACATGAGCCCTCTTCAGGTGAAGGTGACATGGACAAACCTGTCCAGCAGAGACGATTGAGGCTGTAGAGAAGAGGCAGTCCTGCTTGGAGCTGCTGTTGAGGCAATGGGATCCCAGTGAGGAGTGGTGAGGAGAGGGATAACCCAGGAAGAGACCACCAGGGGATACTGAGGTGGGTGAGGGAAACACCATGCGATGGGGAAAGAACAAACCCTGTGATATAACATGAACTATGTGCAATATAAAGACTGCTCAGTGCAAACCCCCAATCACCCAGTGCAAAACAACAACTAAATAAACTATTTAGTGCAACACAACAGAGACTGACATTCCCAGGGCAGTAAAAACCTTCCTCGTGTGGGTTTCTGTGGGGTGAGGAGCAGAGAGACTTTCTATAGGCTGGGGAGGGGTCTCTCTGTGGGGCAGTGGGGACCTTGGGTCTGCGGGAAGTGAGGATGCCTCCAGTGCCATGCATTGCAGAAGGGCTTCCCAAGGATCCTGAGGGATTGGGGGGTCTTTTTGTTCAGCTGAACCCCCTCTGCTCTGTGTTCTCTGTGAACAGGGCTGCTGGGGAGGAAACAGTTTTCTGCTTCTGAAGAGTCTCTTTGTTTCTCTCCCAGCCGTGATCTGAGGTCTGGCTTGCATGAGACAAAGTCTCTCCAGGAATTTTGGATTCCCAATGAAAAACTTCTGTTTGATCATAAATAAAGCTCAGGAAGCCTTATTCATCAAAAAGAGAAACTTTGTTCTGGATGCAGAATATATTGAGGCTCCTGTAGGCTGGAGCAACTTAAAACCCCTTTGCAGTTGGGACAGCTGGGTAATGATCCTCAGGGGGGAAAATCTAGAGATGACATGAACTGTTAAATATTTTAGGATGTAATTATAATATTGTCTAATGAATATCTAGAGAGACAGACTGTGCTGACAGTAGGAGTTTGGGACACCTCTCAGCCTCTATCAAATTTACCATGTGAGTGCAGATGCTCTCTGCTGTGAATCCCACAGAACTGTGTCCCAGCTCTCCATGGAGGAGCATCATTTTGCATTAAGATGTCTCTGTGTTGGTCAGAAGCTCAGCTTCTCTGCAAGATGAGCCTTTCTTCTCCCCCAAGGTTTGAGTGCTGAGCAGGACTCCTTTTGGTGTGGGGTATCCCTTGAGTCAGTGCTGCTGTAGCTGCATCTCCTCCTGATTTCTGGTGCATCCCCAGCCCACTCACTGGTGGGGTGAGACAGAAAATCCTTGACTCTGTGTAAGTGCTGCACAGCAGCAACAAAAACATCCTTGTGTTATCAACACAGTTTTCAGCACAAATCCAAGACACAGCTCCATGCCACTACTGTGAAGAAAATTCACTCTATCCCAGCCAAACCCAGCCCTCTGCTCTGCACTGACAGCCACTGCCATCGCTCCCCAGGCTGCTCTCTGGCCACATCTCTTATTCTCAAGTGCTGGATAAAGTGCTATAACAAATATTGCAAGAAAGGAAAAATATTTCCAGTAAAACTTAGTTCTAATTATCTATTTTTCATGACTGAGTGTGTCCATTATTGTTTTTCTGGAGGGTGATTTCTTTCTCTGTGCACTACTCCTTTCTGAAAGCCAGGAGACACAAAGTGCTTACACAGAAGCAAGATCTGAGGCCAGAGACTCAGACTGATTTCAGCCTTCACATGAACCATCACTGAGATCAGCCAGACAGTGTCATCTCTATAAAAATCCCAATGTAAATATTTGTTCTAAATCAGGCTTTTACCTTTGTGTTGACTGCAGTGTGAGGGAGCATATGAAATACTGTATCGTTTCAAATCTAATTGCTACTAAAAGTTGGAGGATTTGTTGTCTGCCTTGCATACAACCTCCTGGGATAATTTTCTCTTAATTTAGTTTATTTCCTCAAATTCTTCTCCCTGAGCAGTGGATTTCACAAAGGCCAAACTGTTTTCCTCCCCACAAAGCCTGTCTCATTCACCTGCCCTCCCTGCCCCTTCAGCAGGCAACCTGGGGTGCACTGATGAAGGGAGATGAATATTTGTCTCTGCTAACAGTTGGATCATTCCCACTCCCCAGATGCCATCTGTGTGACAAGGTTTGGTTTGCACTAAATACTGCCTGTGGGCTGAGCTAGGAAAACAGATTGCTGCACCATTATATTAAATAATCATCATTAAAGGCTGGTTCATCAGAGGACTTTGGGCTGCCATGGAGATGGGATGCAGTTCACTTCCATGTCAGGATGCTGAAATCAGATTTTGATGTGAATTTTATGACACTCTGTTGGCAGCAGTGTCACCTGGGATCCCTAGGGCATCTCACCTGAGGTCTGCAGGTGGGCAGGGGTGAGAACCATCAGCTTCCTGCTGCCCTGAGCTTGGAGCAGCGCAGAAAACAGGTTCTCACTGCCTGTCCCTCTGTCTCTTCTGTCTTTCCCATACCCTGGATGCTGTGCTTTAAACCTCACACTGAGAAATACTCTAAATTCAGCGATATTCTACATTGCAAACCAGCAGGTACAACCTCATGTCCACTGGTGGCAGCTCTGAAGCATAAACACACACAGAGACACACACACACGATGCAAAAATCCTTTAATCCTTCTGCCCCTGCAGAGGAATGGCAGAGCTCCAGAGCCCATGGGAAGATGTGGAGCTCCCTGCCCTTCAGGTGTGGCAGGTAAAGCACACAGAAATATTTTAGCCCTGCAGTAGCTCCTTGCATCTGTGACCAGTACAGTAAGTACAGTGTGCTGCTTCTAGCTGATTTATTTCTGTATACAATGAAGATAAAACAGCGTGAAGATTTAATCTGCCTTCTCATTCAAAATATTTGAACTTTAACAAAATATTTGGGGTTTTTTACCCGCTAAATATTGTACTTGCTGTGAGCATTTCCATACCAGACTTCTGTAAGATCTGTTAGCATCTGTGTATCTCTGTGCCAGGTAGGAGGACTCAGCATGCTCATGATCTCGAGGAGCGGCTCTTCTTTGGTCTCCTCTTCCTTGAAAACTTTGATCTCAGCCAGTTGAAAAAGCCACCTTTTGCTTTTAGCTCAAATTCTACCGGGAAATGGTCGCTCACTCCCAGTGCCTGCAAGACAACAGCACAGGGGGTTGGGAGCCACCCACAGCCTGTGCAAGCCCTGCCTGGATATGCAGTGCGTGGCTGCGGGGAGGTGGCACGTGAGCATTGCACCAGTTTGGGAGTGATGGTCACTGGTTGTAGAGCCAGGTCTGTGTTCAGCACTGCCTGCACACTGCTGGCTCTGTGCTCCTGTGTCAGCCCTTCCCTGCTGCTGCAGAGGCTGTGCTGTGCCTACCTGCTCCTCAGTCATCTGAAATTCCTCCTGGAAATCAAAGATGTTGGCAGAGTGTGGCACCACAGCCTGGATGAGCTTCTGTCCACTGACCACAATCCTGCAAAGGACAGGGGAATGGGGTGCTGTGATGGGGTGCCTGACCTGTGGCAGCCACACTGCACTGAGCTGGTGGCCAGAGAGGTGGCTCTGATGAAGTCACAGCTCTGTGTGGTTTGTCCTTATCCATGGACTGCCACCCAGAGATGTCAGCTCCTTTAGGTGCCTCCTTGGCAGCAAGGCACAGAAATATCTTGGTGTGCACTGGCCTTGGATGGCAACATTAAATGACTTTGGTCTAAACCCACCCAACAATGCTGCAAATTTCAAAGCCTTGCTTTGGATACAAAAATCACAGGACAACGACTGAGGGATCAGTGAAGGCCTGCTCAGATGCAGAAACTCATCCTTCAAGAGGACTCTGGGCTCTAGTAGCAGAGGTATTCTTGTCCCTGCAGAGGGAACTGCAGTGGCAGCAGGATTGCCACATGTCCAGGGCAAGGTGAGGTGTCCCCTCCAAGCAGAACCTCGCTGTGCATTTGTCCATCCAAATTACAAACATAGGATCAAAAGCCATGGTGCAAAGCTGGCATGGAGAAGGCAGCAGCACCTCCTGCCAGGTGTCTGCAGGGCTCCCTGCAGATGAGAAGTGCTACTGGCTGTCCTGTCATCTGTCCCCCTGAGCCACAGCAGTGGCTGGTTTTGTGTAAATCCTGCCCAGCCTGGTCTGCACAGGGCTTTGTGCTCCTTACTAGAAACATTTGGATCACATTTCCCCTGGACACTGTTTTATCTTTGATGGCCTCATGAGCATTTGTTTCCTCTGTTGGTCACTGACACCTACATTTTTCTCTCAGAGACTCATAAGCAGTGGGTGGCTTGGCAGTGAGCCCTTTACCTGTCATACGGGCATCTGGTGCTGTTCTTCACAGTCGTGTCATTCTTGTCACCAATTAGCCAGAGGAATTCGGAGTAAGTCCTCAGGCGGATGTTCTTCCACTGCTTTTGGGGAACATAGCTGCAGCCAGCATTGAAGTCCCCCATGAAGACAAAGTTCTGGAAGGCAGGAGGGTTTCCAAATGTAATCATGAGGACAGCTTTTCAAAAGAAGACCAATGAGAATTTTATGGTCCATGGATGCAGTGGGGTTTCTCCTTTCTGCTGGGCACATCAGGGCATGCTGATAATAGTTTTAGTAGGTGATCAAATTTACTGCATAAAATGTGGAGAACTCAATGAAACTACACCAGAGAGATATTTAAAACCTGGAGTGCATTATCAATGGGTTTAAGGTTTTCAGCTCTGAATAGCGAATAACATGGCCAGTGACTCAGCACCAAAGCCCAGTTAGTGACACAGTTGTGGCAACCAACCTCAGTTTTCCAGCGCTGTTTGACATCTAAATACACATCATAGAGCTCATCAATCTCCCGCACTGCTGTGTCTGGTGTGGTGTGCAGAGGGATAACAGCAAACTCACTGACAGCTTCAAAACAAGGCAGAGGAACAAGAAAAATGTAACGGTTAAACACAGAATGAGTCACAAAGAAACAGAGACTGACTTGTAAGCAAGGGGATTTTTCTGAGGCAGAAACAGCTTCTGCTCTGACTGCAGGCCAGGGTGATCTCTGTGGTTGCACAGTGACCCCCTCCAGGCACTCAGCTGGGCCTGAGGAGCTGCAGGCAAATCCTGACCCAGCACGCACACAGGAACTGCTCCCAGGCCATGCCAGCAGCATGGAATGCACCCACCAACCCACTGCCCATGGCAGCAGCAGAGGTTTTCCCAGCAGGACATGTGCAGGGCTGTGGGATTTCCCAGAGGCAGCGGCCCTGAAGGGAAAATGCTGCTTTTGGAAGGAAAAGCAGAGTGGGGTGTGGATGCAGCCTCTGGAGCCTGCCCTCTGACGTGCTGGGGTGCAGCCAGTGCTGCTGTGCTGGCTCACAGTGGAACCGTGACTTCTTTCTGAAACACCTCACCAGTTTTGGGAGACTGCCACCAGATGACAAAGGGCTCCCTGGAGAAGACATCCTCATCCCCAGGCTGGGTGTCAGGGTACTGGTAGGTTTGTTTCACCGATACCTGGTCTTGCCTGCAGCAGAATGAACAGGACAGGGGATGTCACACCCGTGGCTCACTGAGATGTGTCTAACCCTGACTCTGTGCTCTGACCTGGACTCCAGGCCATAGTCTGGGGTGGATGCAGACACACAGGTGTCTGTGCTGGATGATCCCCACATCCAGGCACAGCCTGCACCTCTCTGGCTCCCTCCCAGCAAAGCCACCACCGTGTCCAGCCCATCCCCAGGGGCTGTGCCCCAGAGAGCAGGGGAGGGCCTGGCTTGTTGGCAGAGGGGCTCACCCACCTGTAGATGAAGGCATACTGCTCCTTGTAGCTGTTCCTCCCCAGCCTCTCACTGGCCATGCACCTGTACTCCTCCTTTGGCCCCTTCAGCTGACTGGAAGGAAAGGGATGTTCCTGAGTTTATTTCTGCACTCACGGGAGGCTGAGAGTGAGATAATTTTGCCTGTGCCCAGGGATTTGGGCATTGCCTGCCTGACCTCAGAGGCAGCTGGGTACACACACTAAACCCTTCTCAGGAGCTGAACCCCTGCTCTGTCATTTGCTCTTCACTGCACCCCCTCCCTGCTCGTTGCAGCCTCTGTCTGTCCTTCAGCTCGCTATCATGTCCAGCCAGCTGAACACTGCTATTTCCTCTGGATGTCTGGGTTGTCCAGGCAAGCAGTCCCTAATCTAAAGCAGTTCCGAGTCCTGCAGGAAGGTGGCTGTCCTGCTGCAGCCTGATGCCAACCCAGTGAAGGCATTTCCCCTTATTTTTTTTTCTCCTTTGGGAACATCTCTGTAGCAAATTGAATTTAAATTGATTATACTAATTTTAAAATTGGTGGTTTGGAACTGCTTTTGCTCCTGTCCCTCCGCGAGACTGCCAGAGTCTGGTCCTTCCTTGACACTGGGACAGAGCCCACATCCTTAGATTTTGCCCCAGCAAAGTGACACTGAGCAGAGCACAGGCTCTTGCCGAGCAGCTTTCCCAATATTTGTCCATTTGCCCATGGCCACCCTACCTGGTGAGCTTCTCCACCAGGAGGGGACAAACACGGTTCTTGCTGTCCTTTATTTCCATCAGCAACATGATGTCACAGCGGGAAACGATCTGCAAGGGGAAGGAGTAGGAGGAAGTTGGCACACGCCTGGTTTTGGAGGATTGGAAGGGTTAGAAAGAAGTGGTCACAGGCATGGGGGAAGTCCTTTGAGAAAGAAGTGCCATGCAGCCTGGGATCGGGGGAGGGGAGCAGGGGCTGGAACGGAGCTTTTCTGCTCTCAGAGCTGCTGCACGCCCCAGCAGGAACTGGGAGAGGGAACCCGGGAGCAGAAGAGTTTCAGATTTAGTGAAAAACTTCGGCACCTGACCCTGAAGAGGAAGTGTGGAGGGGAAGGGGCAGCAAAAGCCACTCCCGTGAGCCTGGTTCCAGCATCACCACCAGTGCTGGGCTGCTGCCTCTGCCCCACTCCACTCCTTCCCCACGGTGAGCACTCACTCACCTGCCTCAGGCTGATGCAGATTCCTCTGAAACAGCCCTGGAGCCCAAAGAAACACCCTGTCTGAAAATGGGGTCCCAACACCTCAGAGGCACCGAAGGCTCAGCTCCCACAGCTACTGTTGGGATTCCCCGTGGGAAAGTCCAGCTCACCCAAAGCCCAGCATTCTCAGGGGCTTCCCTCTGCCCCCGGTTTCATTGTCCTTTAAACCTTGTGGGTGATTTTTTTCAGGGAACAAAAACCCTCTTTGCCCCCTGAAACTCACCCACAGTTATCTAAGTGACCCCAAAATTTAGTATATATATTTATAAATATGAATATATATTTAGTATATATTGCCCACAGTGATGACAGCACAGGAAGAACAGTCTCGGAAAGCAAACCCAGCAAACCACTCTTCTCTGCCTGTTTGCAATAAAAGGAATACAACCCAGCAATGGTGCCATTCCTCATTGGTGCCATTCTGCACACACAGCCCCTCACTAATGCCAAGCCCCTTGTCCTCCCTCACTGTGGCATCTTGGAGGGCAAAGCTAAAAGGTGGTTCTTTTTAAAAACTTTTTATCTTCAGCTTTTGTGGAGGCAGCCTGATGGTGAGGGTTTGCTTACAGAAACTGTTTTTTCAAATTTCTACCAGACTCTAATTTGACAGATACTATTTGCTGTTCTGAGAATAGGTTTAATTAGACAAGAATATTTGAGACTAATTAGCACATAAAGAAGGTAAATAATGTATCACAAAACAAACCTTTGTGGATTTAAAGTGAAAATTATTTTTACTGTGCATTGAGGTTTTCCTCCTTTTGTAACTCAATTTCCAAAGGAAACAGCAAATATTTTTTCTGTTATATTCCCATGAAGGCTAAAATAACAACATACATTCTGTTCAACCACAGGCTGATTTTTACTTTAAGAGCACGATAGTTTTAAAATAATTAGCTCTTTTTTTTTTTTTGCTTGATATTTAACTGTGAAAGACAAACAAAGTACAAGACTGTGCATCTAAGAAACCCTAGAAAGCTCAGTGTCTGTCTCATCCAGGCAAACAAACGTACCTTTACCACGGCATCGATGACTTCAGGTCTGGCTATTTTAGTTTCTCCAAAAGACCTCACATTGAAGGAGCAGATTTTTAGGCTCAGAGATGGGTTGAAGTGGAAGAGTGAAAGTAAGAAGAAGAGCAGCATCTTCATGGATCTGGGCAAAATGAGTTTCTGCTAGCGTGCCTATAAATGTGTGTGTGTTTATGCCTCCGTCCCTCTATGGCTGGCTGGGAGGTCAAACCCAGCAGTCAGCTGTGTCATGAACAGGAATCACCATTTCCTCCTTGCCCTCACTTCCATCTCCCACCACAAAGCAGCATGGAGACTTTGAACTTCTGCCTGAGGGGAAAACAGGCTCTTCTGAGCCAACCTCTGAATCCTGGCAGAGCAGCAGCTCCAGCAGAACCCACTGTCCCTCCCCATGGGGAGACACCAGCTGTGGGATGCTTGCCATGGCTGGGACCACTCTGGGCTGTGCTGGACCAGGACCAGCCTCCCTGGACCATTCCAGGCCAGCAGAACTGGCCCAAGACCAGGAGATGGATGGGGTGGATGGTGAGAGGGTCTGGGAAGCAGCAGAGGGGAAGACTGGGATTTCTGGAGGGCACCAGAAGCCCACTGGCAGGGACTGCCAGGCAGCCAGGGTAAGATACATGGTGCCCCAGCACTGCCCCTCAAACTGCTGGCCAAGTGTCCCCAGCACAGGAGTCTTGGTTTGTGCCTGTGCTGTGTGGTGGAAGGGGACACAGGAGTTTGGCTAAAACAACACCTGAGTGAGGATGCTGCAGGGGGGATGACTTGGTCCCCTAAGGTGGCTTTTGCAGGGAAATCACCTTCCTACCCTCTTAATCCTCCACCACGTGCCAGCCCTCAGCCAGAGAGACATTTGTTGGCCCTCAATCAAGTTATAAAGGCAGGAGGTGTAACAAGAGCTCAAGCTAAATGACATCTTTAAGTGTCTTGAATTTTTCTCCCTGTGCTTACAGGGTGCTTTCATATCCTCCTTCCTTTCTCTAGGAACACCCGGCCTGCCTGCACCCTGCTGCCCAAGCAGGTCTAGATCCAGAGGCAGCAGGACATGGCTGCCAGCTCTGAGCCAACTGAACAGGCTCAGGTGGAGACAGCACAATGCACAGCACGTGGAAGGGCTCCCAAAGACATGGCACAGCTGAAAACATGGGATCTAGGCTTGCTGGGGAGGCGAGTTCTCCAGAGAACGTGCTGCAGGTATTGGAATAGACATCACAAATCCCTTTTGGCATTACTGGAATCTGGAGCACTGGCTGCCAGCAAGGGACATGTCACCACGTTACTTGAGTGTTTGCCAACCAACAGAGCTACCTGAGAAGTGGGCAGGCCATCCTCCAAAATAACAGGGATTAGGTGGTGCTTCCTCCACTCTGGGTCTCCAATGAGCTGTCCCCAGGCAGGACAGCTCTGGAAGAAACTAATAAAGAGAGAGGGGAGGGAAAGTGACAGCCTTGGAGGGGTGCAAATCTCCAGCTTAACCTTGCTAAAAGCTCAGCCTGAGCCAAGTGCTTGCGACAGCAGCTGCAGCTTCAGGGTCGGAGTCATCAAAACCCAGAGCTCTCCCCAAAATCACGCTTGTTTTGGCTACCCTGGCATCAAAGAGCAAGGGTTTTTTGTGGTGCCATGAAGGCTTTGACCCTGAACCATGGCTCTCAGTGCTGTGTTTATCTTCAGGGCTCCTGGCATATCAGTTACCCCCTTCTCCTCCACCCCAGGCATTATCAGGGGGACAAACAGCAGCCAGTCAACCTGTGGGGGTGACACAGGGAGCTCATGCTCCTTTCTGCAGCCCTTTACTCCCTGTTTACTGCACTTTCTGTGCATATCCTCTTTGCTCCTTATCAGATCATAAAACATGCTTGATGTGGGTGCATGAACACTGGCAGTTCAGGGTTGCCCTGCTCTTGCACAAGAAGCTGCTGGTGAAACCAACACAGTCTGGGGGTCTTGTCCCCACTTGGAACAATGGCAGGTGGGGGACACCCTCTCCATCTGAGCAGCACCTGTGGAACATTCATCAATAAAGCCCCTCCTCAGCCTCTCCTGATCCCAGGATCTGCCAGCAGCTCAGGAGGCTGAAGCAAATTTGGGCAAGAGCTCTGAGCAGTGAGTAGGTGCTGCCCAGGCCCTCTGGGAAGCCTGTCCTGGGGGCTGTGGCTGGTGTGTCACTGCCCCTGGAGCAGCAGCTCAGCCTCCATCTCCTTCCCACTGGCCAGAAGGTGCTGTGGGATGGAAGGGGTGAGGTGTGGCCCTGTGTCACATGCTTGCTTAGGTGCCCATGGGACAGCAGGGTGTGAGGGTCCTGCAGCCATGTGGGGAGTTCTCCTCTCCCTTCAGGCACAGCTGCTTCCTCTTGGCTGCAGCCCTGGCTGCCTAGGGAACGTACAGAATTGTTTTTGTTGGCAGAGATGGACTGAGAGGATCTCTGAGGTTTCCTGTGCCTCCCTGGGAGGGCTGGAGGGAGACACTGTGGGGTCAGCCCACATCCCCTTCTGCTCTGGCAGAGGAAGCCTGTTCTGGGCTTCAAGGGCATCACGGGATGCTCCATGAGGGGAAGCACCCATGGGGTGCTTGGGGCTTGGCTGAAGCTTCATTTCTCCTCTGTAGGAAAGATGTGGTGTCTGTGCTGCTTGGGGACACCAGTGCTGCTGTGCCCTCTCAGCCAAGGGTGCAAAGACTGGCCCGGCCTGCCTGAGACCCAGTCTGTTGGGGTGTTCCTACTGCCCTATCTGGTATCCCCTTTATCCTGTTCCCCCAAAGAGGAGATTGGCTCCAGGAACTAGGGCCAGCATGGGCAGAGGTGATGTTGGGGGTGAGGGACAGTGTGGGGACCAACACGCCCAGGCTGGTGCTCCCCAGGAGCCACCACAGCTCTGTTTTCTGGACAAGGGGCTTCCCCTTCCACATAGCAGGCTTTAAAGTGATGCATGTTTCTTAATTTTTTACCATTTTCACACAAATTGCTGCTCTGACAACATCTGCTATGACAGGGGGAGGTCCAGAAAGGGCCAACCCTGAAGATGTCATCACAATAAAAGTGGGTTCCTTTGGGCAAATGAACCTTTGGGCTCTTGGTGACCTCATCACAACCATCAGGCAGAGTATTTATCACAATCTCCTGGACTTTCAAGTTAATAAGTAGCGAAGCACTTGAGCCATTTTGGATTGCTAAAGTTCATAGCTGTGCTGCAGGCCATATTTGGTCATTTGGGAAGTGGTGTCAGTGCCAATACAATGGCAATATTGTCCTGCTGTGACCCTCACATTTCAGTGCAATGCAGGGTAAAAGTATTTGGTGTGCAAGATACACACAATGTTTTGAATCAAATCTTTGATACTCAATTTTTATTTATAATTCTGGAAGGTAGGTGTTCTACTTAATTAATTACTGTCAAGGCACAATTCCTTGGCTGGTCCAGGACTCTGATGGGGTTTTCTTTTTCAACTTAATATGTCAGTATTGTTCAGTTAGTGGTTTTAAGCATGATAGCCTGCTCACTACAAGGCAGTCCAAGGAAAAATGTCTCATGATGTTTCCAGTTTCTTGAAGGAGGCTGCTTGGCTGAGCTGTAGGAGAGCAGGAGGTAATCTGAAATACAGGCTTTCATGCATGACGACAAGATGAGGCTTTGAAGTTAATCCTCTATAAAGATATTGCAGCCACCAAATAAGGTTTTGTGCCAATAAATACACCCATATTGTTAGCAGTTAAAGATGTAATTAAAATGCACATAATGCATGCATTAACTTTGAGTAGAGTTAATAAAGCATTTTTAAAGCTGTTATTAGGCAAGCAGGTCTTGCTTTATAGTGTTTTAAACAGCAGGAGCATTGCTGCTGTGTTGTCCCAGGTTGTGCAATGAAGCCCCTGAAGAGTGCCAGGGTGGCTGCTCAAGGTGTGCACAGAGTTATTTACCCTGTGCTCACCCAGAGCTGCTGTTTGGAGCCAGGTGAGCTGAGCTGTTATCCCATCTGTCCTGGGGGACGACTTTCTGCAGCTCTGTGTCATTAAAGTGGCACTGCTCAGGGCATGGCAAGGCCCTCCTCAACAGCAGCTCCCATGGTGGGCTCTGGGGCACTGTGGCACTGTCCCATGCCCACAGTGCCCTGGGCATTCCCCGTGGATGGTGCCACAGGGCCACCACTGTGCCAGCGGAAATAGATGGGGACAAGTCACCCTGGGGAGGTGATTCAGCCCACGGGGCAGCGTGCAGCCACTTGTTATGATTGCAAACAGCTTCACCACGTGCCCTGGGGATTCCTCAGCCAGCAGTGGAAAATAACATGGAAACCTTTCACCTAGTGGAGCAATGCTGCTTCTCAGCTTGGTGAGGGAGAAGTCTGAGCTCTCCACAGCCATCCTGGACTGAATCCAGCCACAGCTTCCACCTTCCTATGGAAAACAAAACTGTTTACATAAAAGTCTCGTGTCCTGGTTTCTGGGGCCATGCAACAGCTATTTCCGATGATTTTTAATGGTGTTTGTCGTGTGGTTGCTCTGTTTTAGATACATTTTGTTTCTCATAAGTCATCAATGAATCGTAAGTCATCGTTGTGGTCGTTGTCTGTCCTGCTCACAGGATCAAAGCTGCGCTCCTGTGCTGGTGGGAAGCCCAGCTGCTGACCTGGCATTAGGAATGAGTGATTCTCAGCTAAGGGCCAGCATAGCTCCAAAATGCCAGCCTCAGAGGGTGACCAAGGGGTGACTCAGCCCTCCCAGCTGCCACAGCTGTGTGATGAGTTGTCTGTGGGCTGAGAAAAGAAACAAAACTCATGGGGCAGGTCAGTGCAGGCACTGGCTTTTAATTGGGACTTGCCACATTGCAGCCATCCCAAACATGGCCTTGTAGGGTCCTGAGGAGGTGCCCACAGAACTGCTGGGGTTTCCTCTGAAGGCTGAGGCTCATCTGCTCTCTGTGGGCACAGGGAGCCCAGCCGTGCCCTGCACTCTCCCCGCTGCTCCCCCTGTGCCATCTCGAGTGCCCAAGATCTGCTCTGCTGTGCTGGGACAGAGGAGCAGCCTCAGCCCCTGCCTGTAAAGTGATCAGGGCACCTCCCCCAGCAGGGCTGTGACCTGCTGAAGCTGTGGCCTTGCCCTGGCAGTGGCTGGATCAGAGTAGCCCATCAGCACCAAAGGAGACTCTCAATGACTCTTCCCTGTGGCTGCACACTGAGCTTGCAGGACTGGGT